GAAATATAACTTGTTGGTAATAATTTACAATGAAATTAGAGTGCTGAATGGTTAAAAGAGTCCCATGATATAAAATCATTCAGATGATTTTAGAACCATTAAAAACAATTTTTTTTTGTCAAACAAAATTCATCTCTTAGCGATTCAGAGGTTAGCTCTTAATGAAATTATTAAGAGGTAAACAAAAATATGAATTATATTTTGTTAACTTTTAACATCCACATAGATTGTTCGGTTTCACTTTTGACCCGATTGAGCCTGTTCGTTCTCATTGGTCACGTGTTAGCACGTGCAATGAGATTTGGCGCCTAAAAACGTTGAGGTGGGCAATAACAAAACATGAAATCATAGCAAACACACGCTCACAGACTTCCGATCCAAAAATCCCTACTCTTGATTGGATGCAGCGGTTTCAGATCACTAAGCAGTCATGGAGGAAGAGGTCCATGTCTGCCACCGATCTCACCGGCGAACTTCCCATCTATAATCCGGCTTCTGCAATTGGCCGGAACTGGAGCTCAAGATCAGTGGTAAAATACAATCGAATTCATCTCGTTCCTCTTGTTGTCATGCTCTGCTTCTTCATCCTCTGGTGCTTCAGTTCTCCTGGTATTTCTATCTTATATATATTCTACAATTATCTTACCATCAACAATGATTTCAATTTCGCTCAAATTTTCGTCCGTCCAATTATGCTAGTCGATGTAATTTACCTATAGCCATGTGTGTGTGTGTGTGTTTGGAATTGCGATTGTGATTTTATTTTAGTTAGTTTTTATAGGTAATCAGGCCTTGATCACAAGTGATCGAGTGTTGTAACTCTAAACAATGGCAAACGTGGAGATCAATCTGAATATGAGACAATTATAAAACCCTAGGAAAGTATGATGGTAAGTTGATGAAGAGGATTTTTCTAGGTTTTAAGGGATGGAGGGAGTTATACTCTGTACGATGGTACACTCAATTGCGGGATTCTGGACGATGATTAAGGTCAATTTGATCATTTTAGAATGGTGCTTTGTGCTATTAAACTTGGTTTGTAGTTTTTCTGTGATAAAGTTTGTTAGATATCCGAATTGTTAAATTCCAGTATCTCTATATCTGATAATCATCACTTGTTTTGTTAGTGGAGATGGAAACCAAGGATGGGAAAACTAATTTCGTCCCCAGAACCAAGAAGCCACCGCAAGAGAGTGAAGCAACAGATGTTGATCTTACTGTGTTGGCATTAGAAAGTCCACCAAATGGTTTCTTGTCGCTTTCTGATGAGCCAAACTCCTCAGTAGCTCATCATAATCAGCATAATGTGTCATTCTTGGATTCCCATGATCATAATGCATCATTAACAGATTCTCATGAGCCAAACGCCTCCTATTTAGTTTCTCATGAGATACAAGCCCCATCCTCAGTTTCGCAGGATCCAAGTGCCTCATTCTCTGATCCTCATGAACCCAATGAGCTGCTCTCCAATTTACATGAGCTAAATGCATCATCCTCAGATTCCCATGATGCAAAACTCTTGATCTCGGTTTCTCAAGTGTCAAGAATCTCAAATCTAGGCAGAAGCATTGGAGCTGCCCCACAACCTAGTGGAGGAGGCTGAAGAAGGTTAGGATCTTCCTCCTGCTTTTCTTTTTCTCATAAGTGTTGTGCGGGAAACCATTAAACTGCTAGGCTCTTTTTCTTTCATTCAATGTCTGCTATAATTAGACGAAAGTAGGAGTATGCATAGAAGAATACATCAAGATAAGTTCGTTCTGTTATACCTTAGCATTGAACAATATAGATCAAGGGAATATAGGTTCAATACAAAGTTTTGATCTAGATAAGACCTATACCAAAAGAAAGAAGAGGAAGAAAAAGCAGAGAAAATTACTAGTATTTTGCTACAATGATTAATCAATAATTTGGTTTCATTTCATAGTTTGTTGATGATATGCTTAGAAGCTGGGAAACAATATGAATCTTGTAAGGCTCAGTTTTGTTGAAAAACAGCATTGACATTGATCCTTATTCCCCTATGTCATCCAAGTACATATATTAGAGATCAATCTCTTCACTTGTATTTTATGTGTATACATATGCATTAAACCCTTTGAGAATCAACTTAACAAATTTGGAGAAAAAACAGTGAAATGGGACTCGAAAACTGAAAACAGATGAACAGTGGATAACGAACATGTCAATCAATATATCTGAGATCTATACGGTAGATAGTGCGTGTGTACCTTCGTCCAACTAAGGGGCCGTTTACCAAATGCTTACCAGGTAAGCGCTTAGTGGTTGTCACTTGCCTTAGCGGGTGGCATGACAAGAACCAGGAATCTTACCCGACCCAGTTAGAGACATAGTAAGGATTGACAATCTTACCCAGTAAGTGAGGGAGAAGACTCTTATCGGGTCGAAAGCGCTTAGCCAACAATCCGTTTTGATGGCCGAGAATGTTACCCGATAGGGTAGGTGAGGGTGGTGACTATTACCAGCAAGCACTTAACTGGTAAGTGTTTGGTAAACGGTCCCTAAGAATATATTCCTTGTTTAAGACCACAGTTGCATCAATTTTTGTAGGAGATTACATCTTCCATTTGTAAAAAGGGTAGCTTTTTCAATGAATAGGGTTTCAAATATTTAACATGTTAATATGTATTGTACCACTTATCCATACATAAACAAGCATTTCATATAACATTTATACAATAAAAGCATTCACTAGTAGTCTAATACAAGCAGCGATAGATCGTAGAGACGTTGACGAGTTACTAAAGTTGTTAAGGTTAAGCGAATGAATTCAATTTTTTTTTATATCTATAATTAGGAAATCTGAAAGTAAGATAATTAAAAATTTAAGAATCAAAATATGTTGTATTATTGATTAAACTTAATTAATAAATAATTAAAAATTTAAGAATCAAAATATGTTGTATTATTGATTAAACTTAATTAATAAATAATTAAAAAAATAAGTTGGCATGGTACGATATTACTATGATAAACGACTTCTAATACCACATACTAACCAAGTTTTGATAGTTGGTACCAACGATTTAGATTTATACCAACAAAATTGGTACGGTTGGTACGAAAATTGATTAGTTTAATTTGGTAGGTACTTGAGAGGCCTACATTTTAACGATCTTCGGTCTCAATTCGACGCACACCATATAACATTTTATCCAAGAACAAAGCTTCACAAACAATTTTCATTATCATTATAATAGCAATCATTTTGACTCATTGTTTTATTATTATTATTATTGTTTATTACTATTGCTATTATTATTATTATTATTGAACAATAATAAAATTGACAACTCAACATTCTATATAATTAGTTTTAAAGACAATTCGATACCCACATCATCAAATATTACGAGATCAGTAGGTTTAAAAATTGACAACTTGTGAAGAAAAAATTGTAAAATCTGATCCAATTATTGTAATCGATTAGTTAACATGTTGGTTAACCGTATTATGAAACACGGAAAAAAATCATTGGCTTATCAAATTATCTATTGAGCCGTGAAAAATATCATAGATCGAGAGAAAAATATATTTGTTACACAATTACAGAAAATAGGAACTAAATCAAATTTTGTTGTATCTTCTTTTTATTAAACATTTAGGTAAAACTCTTAAATTTGAAGAGTACAATATCTATAAAGCATTAAAGCATCTCCAGCAACACAGGAACTAAATCAAATTTTGTTATATTTTCTTTTTATTAAACAACAACATTGTCATTTTAGAAATTGAAGATTTTGAAAAAATTTACTTCATCAGCTATATTAAATTCTTCTTTAAAATATACAAAAAATTAGAGAAATCTTCAAATTTAAAAGAAAAGCCCGATCACTACAAACGGTTTTGTTTGAAAGGCCAATCAATTAATCAAGTACATATAATGTATTTGATTTATTTAGTATCTTATTTCTTATTTATTTATAATAATTAATTATTTATAAATTAAAAAATATATATATAGACATGTGAATCCAAATGCCTTGATCCATTTTAACTGTATCCAGTTTCAGCCATCCATGAATGATGGAAACGAATAGGACTCGCTAAGAACATCCACGATAAAAGTTGAAACATCGTCTGTTAGATAAACTAACAACCTTATGGATCATCTGATTTGACCTGCATGACTCAAATTTAGGGATGCATAAATTGCCACAACCTAACTACCAATCTGGAGAATCACGTAGCAAGATATTCTTCTCGATCGACTACCCACAACAGAGTCATTCGTATCCATGAGCAACTGCCCGCAACAACACATTAAGTAACATTTCCAATTTTTGCAGCCAAAATCCGAAACGCCACTGCAAAAACCTTCACAAACTTTAAGTTATAAATATGTTTCCAAATTTATTGAGAAATGGACTACCCTTGGTTGGCTGGTTTTAGGAGCTGTTTAGTAAATGCTTACCATATAAACACTTTCCAAATAAGCTCTTACCGAGTGTCACTTATCATATCGGGTAACAAGAACTAAGAATCTTACCCGATAAGAGATATAGCAAGGACCCAAAATGTTACCTGCTAATTGAGGGAAAATACTCTTACCTAGTAAACGCTTACCGGATAAAAGACATTTACTAACAATCTATTTTGATGGCCAAGAATGTGTATATGCACCTGACCCGGTAAACGTTTGGCAACCGACCCCTAGTTCATGAGTTTGAGATGATGAAAAACTCAAGTGTTATGAGTATTGGTTTAGCATGCAGTAGTTATGAGTTGTAGAGTAGAGGGCGTAATTAATGGTTATATAAATGTTATTAATTATCGGGATATCCTGAAAAGCAAAATAAGAGGAGGAGATGCCTAGATTTTTTGATTGGTAATAACAAATTTTGTAACGAATCTCTAATTATCTCCCTCACAAGATCCGAACATCACTCGCACCCTGCCCCTGCCTTTGCCTTTTCTGCAAACAAAACATTCACACAATTATTAGGCTATAGCAATGGGTGGTATGCTGCCCAACCCAAACAATGGCACCCTCCCCCTCCTCCGCCCAACACCGCCCTCATTCTACCTCCCTCCGCAACTCCCTTTCCTGGCTTTTCCTTTCCTTGTTCTTCCTCTACATCCTCTACTATTCCACCATCCTTTTCGAACCTGCACCTGTCGTCGACACCACCACCAGAACCACAACAACTAACACCACAACCGACTGCCACGATCACCTCTCTGCTGCGGAAAATCTCCAAAATCCCATTTCCTCCTCTAACACCACCATACCTGAACCATTATCAACCCAACCGGTTCTCCGTTTTGATACCGAACTCAAACATATTGCATTCGGGATTGCGGCCTCATCTAGACTATGGCGGAACAGAAAGGAATATATCAAGCTATGGTGGCGACGTGGGGAGACCAGGGGGGCTGTTTGGCTAGACAAGCATGTAAAAACCATGAAAAATGAAAGCCTACCCGACATCCACATCTCTGAGGATACCTCAAAGTTTCCATACACAAACCCCGATGGGGATAGGTCCGCCATCCGTATATCTAGAGTGGTTTCCGAGACACTGAGACTGGAAATGGAGGATGTGCGGTGGTTTGTCATGGGAGACGACGACACTGTATTCATTGTGGAGAATTTAGTGAGGGTTTTGTCTAAATATGATCACAATCAGTTTTATTATATCGGGTCTACGTCAGAAAGTCATTTCCAGAACATGTTATTTTCGTACGGGATGGCTTTTGGTGGCGGTGGGTTCGCCATCAGTTACCCATTGGCTGTGGAGTTGGAGAAGATGCAGGACCGGTGTCTTCATAGATATCCTGGTTATTATGGAAGTGATGATAGAATGCATGGTTGTATGGCTGAACTTAATGTCCCACTCACCAGAGAACCAGGATTTCATCAGGTTAGTTTTAACCACATCTAGCTGTCATTTGAGAAGACATATTTTTCATAGGAAATTTGTTTTATAAGACATTTTTTTTCAAATAAAGTCATATGAAATGACTAATATGATGTTTTATTTCAAAATTGTCCTAAAAAAGGAGGCCCAAAAGCATTTTATCAATTTATTATTGTAACACCTTTACATAAATGCAAGTCCTATAAAGCAATCTACTAAAACTTAGCTCTAGATTTACTAATTCTGTTTACTGAATGTGCAGTTTGATGTGCATGGGAATCTCTTGGGTCTATTAGCAGCCCATCCAGTAACTCCATTTGTCTCTCTCCACCACCTAGATGTAGTCGACCCAATATTTCCAGGAATGACAAGAGCTCAAGGCATCAAACACTTGCTACAATCGACTAAGTATGATTCTGCAAGTATCATACAGCAGTCCATTGGCTACGACAAGAAAAGGCAATGGTCCATTTTGGTCTCATGGGGTTTTGCCATCCAAATTATACGTGGAATCCTATCTCCAAGAGAGCTTGAGATACCTACTCGCACATTCCTAAATTGGCACAAAAGGCTCGATTACACAGCATATGCATTCAACACCAGGCCTGTCACAAGGAACCCATGCCAGAAGCCATTCGTGTATTACATGAGTTCAACTAGGTATGACAAAAGTAAGGGGAAGATCATTGGGATCTATACTCTTCATAAAGAACGCTACCCTCATTGCAAATGGAAGATGGAATCTCCTGAAACTATTGATACAATCGTGGTCTTAAAGAAGGAAGATAATCTTCGTTGGACAAAGGTACATATGCTCTATCTAATGTACGGATCACTACTATAATGCCTGACATGTTTGTTATCCGTTGTTCATCTGTTTTCAGTTTTTTTTCACTGTCTTTTTTCCAAATCCGCTTAGTAAAATGTAGAAGATTTCTTAAAGGGTTTATGCATACAAGGTATATACACAAGCAAAAGACAAGAAAAGTGATCGATCTCTCATATATTGCCAGTCTGTTCCTTGTTCATCTGTTTTCAATTTCCCCATCCTTTTTCACCATGCCCCCTTCTCCAAATTCGTTTGGTAACATGTAAGAGTTCTTACAGGGTTTATTTACCCGTCAAGGTATTAGACAGAAGAGTGATTTATGTATGAACAAGGCGTATACAAATCTTATTAAAACATAGTTCTATTGCATCCATTTTCTGACTGTTTCATTTTTATGTCGCAGGCACCAAGGAAGGATTGTTGTAGAGTGCTGCCTGCTCGTAAGAAAGGAATTCTATACTTGTGGGTTGGTAATTGTCGAAAAAATGAAGTCATCGAGTTGTAGACTACTAGAAGGATTCCCTAGTTTCTCATAGATGTATCACCCCCTCATCACATACTTGGACGGCATAGGGGAATAAGGATCAATGCCAGTGCTGTTTTTCAAAGAAACTGAACCTTAGTAGATTCATATTGTTTCCCAGCTTCCAAACATATCATCAACAAACTATGAAACCAAAATTTGATTAATCATTGTAGCAAAATAGTTGCAATTTTCTCTTTTTTTCCTCTCTCTTTTTCTTTTGGTACGTATCCTATGTGTAAATTCTGGATTGAAACTTTGTGTATGATTTCAAATTTGCATATGCAGTCAATATTCCCTTGATCTATATTTTTCAGTGCTAAGGTATAACAATATAAACTTATCTTGTATTTGTTCTTCTATGTATGCTCCTACTTTAGTCTAACTATAGCAGACATTGGATGAAAGAAAGAGAGACTAGCAGTTTAACAGTTTCCCATACAGAGAAAAACCAGAGGAAGATCCTTACCTTGATCAGCCTTCTCCATTAGACTGTTGTGCAGCTTCACTGCTTCTGCCTAGATATGAAATTCTTGGCTCTTGAGAAACCCAGAACAAGATTTTTGCATTGTGGGAATCAGAGGATGATGCATTTAGCTCATGTGAATCAGAGAACAACTCATTGGGGACATGAGAATCAGACAAAGACATTTGGGTCATGCAAAACTGAGAATGGGGATTGTAGCCCATGAGAAACTGAAAAGGAGACATTTGGCTCATGAGAGTCTGTTAACGATGCATTATGATCATGGGAATCCAAGAATGACACATTAGACTGATTAGGAAGAGCTTATGAGACGAATAGCTCATCAGGAAGCCACAAGAAACCATCTGGTGAACTTTCTAAGCCAACACAGTAAGATCAACATCGGTTGGTTCGGCCTCTGTTGGTGATTTTAGTGTCATCAAGCCATTTAGTATGATAGGGATTAATGTGAGACAAACCAAAATTATAGCTATAATTCGATCCCGGAGGTGCGGAGTGCAAGCTCGGATAAGTTAAGTTGATCTCGGGGATGCGGGGGTCCAAGGGCAGTTCCCCTGGCGGGGGTTGTTTTCCAGCCAAACACCCGAACAGTCGCGTCTATTGAAAACAGACATGACTTCCCGCCAAAAATAACCGACTTAACCGCCGGTGGCTATATAAGGCTTCATTCAGTTATTGCAGATTATCTTCTTCGTATATACTGTTACTCTGTCGGATTTTTGTCTTTGAAGGAGCATAAACAAGCAAGATATTATGTGTTTGTGATCTTGGATTTTGCCTGAAATTCAGATTTGTTGTTCTTGGATTATCCCAAATCTGATTTCGTGATACCCCAGACAATAGGGTCCAAATCACAGATTTTGAAAAGTGTTTTGTACACAATCCTTGAATCATCCAAGTAATTTTGATATTTTGTTTCCAAAATCTAACAGCCTCTTCGTACAGGGGACGAAATTAGTTGTCACAAAACAAGTAAATGATTATCGGATACAGTGGTTTTAACAACTGGGATATTCAACAAACTTTAATAGCACAAAACACCATTAAAAATGATCAAATTCATCTTGTCCACAATTCAATATGATGTTGTACAGAGTATAACTCTCAGCCTTTACAACCTAGAAATTCCTCTTCATCAACATATGATCATAGCTTCCTAGGGTTTTATAATCGTCTAATAATCAGATTGATATCCACGTTTGCCATTATTTACAATTTACAACAGTCAGTTACTTGTAGTCAATGCCTGATTACCTACAAAGCTAACTAAAATAAATAAAAACACAGTCACAAACACACTCACACTCACACTCACATGGCGATAGGTAAATTACACTGACTAGCATAATTGGAGGGACGAAAATTTGAGCGAAGTCGAAATTATGATTGATGGTAAGATGATTATAGGATATAGATAAGAAAGAAATACCAGGAGAACTGAAGTAACAGAGGATGAGGAACGAGATGAATCCGATTGTATTTTACCACTGATCTTGAACTCCAGTTCCGGTCAACTGCAGAAGCCGGATTGTAGATGAGAAGTTCGCCATGATTGCTAGTGATCTGAAAACCTGCATCTGATGATTGATGAAAGAGGTTTGATTTCAAGTTTTGGTTATTTTGTCCCTTCGACGCTTTTCGGCGCCAAATCTCTTTGCACGTGGCCTGTAAGAGCGAACAAGCTGAACCGTCTCAACAAAAATCATCATTTTAAACAGAGTAAATTATGTTTTTAGTCCCTGTGGTTTTTTGAAAATTGTTACTTTCATCCTTATGGTTTCAAAATTACTTATTTCGTCCTTGTGGTTTGTAATTCGTTTGTTTTTTGTCCATCTTTACAAAAATCCGTTAAGTCCAGGGTATTTTCGTCATTTAACCCAATTCTTTAACTTTTTGATTATCTCTATTTGTTTACTTCTTTTTTCTTATTTATTTCTTTATAGATGCCATCTAACACGCCCATTCCGGTGAACCCAACCTACCTTCTTCGGCATAACAAAAGGGTGTTTAGGATTGCTTATAAAAATAACTTATTGACTTATTTCAGTGTGATACCGGTAATAAGCGTTTTTGAGTGTTTAGATAAACAAGCTTATACCGGTGTCAAACCGGTAATAAGAAGTTTTTGAAGAAGTTAAACCATTCTAACTTATAATAAGTTGATAAGGACTAGTCTAAAAAAACACAAGTTGTTTCAAATAAGCAAATCCCAAACACCCCTAAATCAAAAACTTAAAAATCAACAACAAAATCAACCATCAGGGCCGGTCCTAAGATTTTTGATGCCCTGTACGAAAATAATAAAAAATGCCCCAAAGTCTATTTTTTTAAGCCAATAAAACAACAAAACATACGATTTTTTAAAAAGTTTAGAATTTATTCAAGCTAAGTGTCTCATCCATTTGTTGATTTTTATTAATTATAATAAAAATATACAATTGGGGGGGGGGGGGGGGGGAACCAAAACCCTAAATACAAAATATAGAATGATAAAAGAATAAATCCTAGATTAAGATCGTCTTTGCTTCTTTTTTAGTTTTTTTCTTTTCCAAATTGAAATTAGTAAAACAGAAACTTTATTTCAATACATAGAACTTAAAAGACAAGGAAAACTATTAGTTTTAAACTAAAATAGTAAATTACATCCAAATTATTGTCATTTAAGCAAAAAGTAAAACTCAAAAGTTAGAGTCTAACAACTAAAGGCTAAAGGCCTATCTCTTAGCAGCTTAATAGCCTTAATAGAACTAACAACTTATTCACTCAACTATACATGACTGTTTCATAGTAGCTTAATAATATAGAAAGTGACTTATCCAATAAGCTTATAGGAGGAGCTTTATATAGAAAGCTAAGTTTTTTTTTCTCCAAATATGTCCCTTCTAACTAAAAAAACGCTCCTTACATATGCAAAAAAACTCTCCTAAACAAAAACTTTTCCAACTTATACAAACAAATTAATTTATACAAACAACTTTATCCATATAGAACTTAATAAAAAACCAATCAAACGGCCCCTAAATCTGATGTGGTAATGTCAAATCTCAATGTAAATAAAAGTCAAAAGAACAATAATAAATTGTAAAATTCATAATCTATATTACTGTACATTGCAAAGAACAAGTGTCCCATAATTAAGACAATATCACAATATGTTGTTAATGTTGTGCAGTATGCTCCAGTTATGTTGATACAATAATGTGCCCATGTGCATTGAAAATTTCAATTATCAGATATTTCAATATGCAAGAGAAAGGGACTGTTTGGCAGTTGCTGAATGATTTGATGCAAAATGATTAAGTGGTCAGAATGATTAAAAGACTCCCATGATAAAGTGCAAAATGAAATATTATTATTTGGTAATTGTTTACAATAAAATTAGCGCGCTTAATGGTTAAAAGAGACTCAAAATACAAAATCATTTAGAAGATTTTAAAACCATTAAGAGACAGATTTTTTTTTTGTCAAACAAGATTCACCTTTTAACAATTCAGAGATTGCCCTCTTAATTGAACTATTAAGAGGTAAACGAACATACCCAAAGAATCATTATCAATATGACAAAAGCCCCTTAGCCTTAGCCTAGTAGGTCAGTAACTTACACGACCACACATGACCCAACTTTATAATAATCAGTTAGAAATTTGGATTTTTTTTTGCATTTTTTTAAAGATTCATAAATCATAATATGACTCACACAACAACTCGATAAGTTCAATCAACTTGATTATGATTTGTACCGATTTGAACTCTAACATCAAGCACCTTAATTCAAAACCTAGGTTTATCTGGGAATTTGTTCATTCACTTGTGATATGTCTGTTACAATTAATTAGCATTATAGGATGATATTTTCGTTACAATCAATTATCTTGATGAAGTTAATTAACGACGAAACATGTTGAAGGAAATTTACAATGTGAAATGTCTTGTGGAGCGGAGAAAATTGTGTGTCAGATGAAGCATGATGAAGGTTATTTCATTATCTTATCGTTCAATTTCACGAAATCTTAAAAAATATGGTTTCATAGGATGCTTTGAAGCTCTTCAAACTGGAAATGGTGCTTTGGAGTTCTTCAGTTCGGCTCTCATGTGAAATATTTTGCACTGCAGTATATTGAGGTATCCCCTGTAGCAATTAAATTGTTTTATAGGCATATCTTTGTTCCTACATGCCAAATTTCAGAAAAATTGGCTTTCCTGTGGTTGAAACCATTAACAATCTCCAAGAAAATGCTCTTCAAACGCTTGCTAGATTCTCTCTCTCTCTCTCTCTCTCTCTCTCTCACACACACACACGACTTTGCAATCGTCATCCACAGAAAGGGAGTTGGGAACTTGAGGAACATGTAGAAATATTTCAAGCCTTGAAAGAGACCAAATGGCACACTACAGAAATGTCAATGCAAATTGTAGTACTTTTCTATGATCAATAGTTGAGAAAATCATTAAATTCTTATCCTTCCATGATTATCTTAATTTCGATTTGTGTGGCATATTAAGTCGTGAGTGCCCTTTTAGTTATCAATAACAAGTCCAACCATTGCGGAATTCAGTTTTGAGATTCAAAAAGTTCAAGAATGGTTTAATTCTGTAGCTGTGTCACAAAACGATTTGTGGTATTTCTCCAGAGAGGAATTCTAAAAGAAGTAATTCAAAACAAGTTCTAGGAATTGAACTCTGTTGTTGTACCATTAGAACTTGATACTCCAATCGTTGTGTTTTTTATTCGTAAGATAATATGTACAAGCGGATTTATCGTCTAACAAGAAACGATATATTCTAGAACCTAAATATATAGTTTCTAGATACATGATCCTACATATACATATTCTACGATCAGGAAATTCAACTTTCTACCTCATCATTCCTTTCTCTTTTTAGATAAGCAGAAGTTGTAGTTTTCAATTTGCTACCAATCTGGATCTACAAAACACATGGTTGCCCAGCAGCCAACATGCATGCTACACAAACAGCAGCATTACAAAGCTATACAATGAAGGCTCTAGTTCTTAGAACTTTGATAGAAACCTGCACACCTATATATACTGATTTCTAATATCAGAGAAGGTATATTAGTTTCCATCTAGATTTTTCTAGAAATTCTCCTTGTGGAAATCAAAGCGAGTCGTGTTTTGTAGACTAAATTCCTTGCAGAGATTGCTCAGAGGTCTTGTCAGTGCTCGAGTTCCACAGTAGAAAACACCTGCACTTCATTGAAACGAAGATTTCAATAATCACACACAGAAACACAAAGTCTGATACTAATTAAAAAAGATTGTGACGCACCAATTTTAGCACCCTCATGCGTAGTTGCCAAGGTGTGGAATACCTTTCTCCAGTTGGGTCTTGCAAAATGCGTTTTGATCTGTTGTGGTTTATTTATTATTAATTAGAAATTTAGTTAATCCCAGAATTAGGGTTTCTGATCTCTCACACACATATCTATCTATCTATCTATCTATCTATCTATCTATCTATATATATATATATCAAGAAATTGAGTTTATACCCGACTCTGAGAGACAACATCAACTCCGTCTTTGGCATGTTGCAGAGATTGCACCATAGAAACAAGTGCAGATCTCACATCACCTTGTTCATACACACTGGTCAGGTAGTTATGCATTTCGATTATGTTCTGTAACACATATTCCGAACCCCCATCAGAACAAAATTGATAGTATCCTTCAAATTCGTATTACATATGGGCAAAAACTAACAGTGAAGGTTAATTAAGGACCCACCTCGTGATCATGGTCTGCGATGTCATCCATTACACCTTTGAACCATTCGAATGAACCCTGCTCCCTTGTTACCCAATAAAAGTAAGCTCTTTTATCCAGATTTTTATTAATATCCCCCGATTTCTGCATAGTAATACAAAGATTTTCTTGTTTAAATAACGTGAAACTCAAAAGTTTAAACTGGGATATTGCTATTTTTTCTTACTGATTGTTTTAGGTGGTGTAGAAGATCATTTAATATGCTGATGAAAGGAGTTGCTCCAATACCCAGACCGATCAGTAATAGGACGCTGTACTCCCTGTAATGTTGAGCTGGTGCCCCATATGGTCCTTTGATGTAGATTTTAGGATAGCTATCAAAACACAAAGGGAAAATATGATGAATTATGTAAATAAAAGATGTGTAAAAGTAGGTGATTTAGGCTATTCTCTGTGTCACTCACATTGCTTGTGCTTCTTTTATGCTGATTTTGGCATTAGTTTCCATTCTGGCAAGACTTCCTGCTACTGGGTTCTTCATCTGAGGCTCACAGGCCTGCATTTCTGCGTTTTAGAATTCAGATCAAGAGAGAACGGTTGATGAAGAGCGAGAATTAAGTGAATGGAGACGACAAGTGTTTGAAACCAGTTAATTATTAGAAAACACTGTTTGACCTTTGCAAATTCTTCCCTAAGCGCTTTCGTCCAGTCTCCCAATGTACGAATGTGTACACTCAAGTAGTTATCTCCGGGTGCAGAAGTGATGGTGAAGGGATGCCTACCACATTCAGAATTCACATTTATGGATCTTCTGATTAACTTCTGTTTTTCTTTTTCAATTTTAGGATTTACTTACCATTCGAAACGCGATATTTGTGGACAGTGTACAAAGAGGTACATTCCACTCTTGTACTTGAATCCAGGAGGTTTGGTCATGTAGAGTGCTAGCACATTTCCGGTATATATAATAGCCTGCGTTTCCATAACACGAAGAAAAATTAGGGTTTTCTCTTGGAGAGCAGAAAAGATGAGCGTTATAGAGCATCATGATCACCTTAATAGTGTCAACGCGCAGTGTATGATCAGTGGTAATGAGTCTCTCACTCGCATAACACAGCATTGGAATCACGAGATACATCCATGTCTACAAGTATGTTGGTTTGACAAAATGTGATCAAACTCTAGTTTCATGCTTATCCAAAAGAGACACTAGAACAAAATGAGTTTTTAGGATGCCTAACCACCCTTGAGCGACCTAATAATGTACTTAATAAGACTTACATTTATAACACCAACGACTCCGAGCTAGTCCTATACGACGATGTTACAATAAATTGTTGATTAGGACAAAGTTAGGAGACCTAATAAGTTCTATTGGCGAAGTTAATAGGACACGTGAAATTGTCTTATTAGTCTTTTTGTATCCTATTATAGATTGCGCATAGAACTTGTTAGATTGCCTAAATTCGTCTGAACAACTATTAGTAACTATCGTTTCACTTGATTCAAGTATTCACCGCCTTTAAATGGAATATTATCAAGCACCCTCCACATTTGATAGTATTTATGGTCCTGTAACGCCATTGTATAAGACACACAATTGTTGGCCCTAGAACTTTCCTGTCAAGTATTCTATTAAGACGACCATGGACGGTGGAACATCCTAAAAGACCCATCTTATTGCATTGAGCCGGGAGTTTAAAGATAAATTATCAAGTGACATACAGTTTTGTTGTACCATCCTCGGGTGAGGACTAAGAACCAGCCATGAACGATCAACAAGAAGTAAACGACGATTAGCAGATGATGAGTGTACCAAAAGGACGTAAAGCCAGCTAAATTGCTGAATGGCTCAGGCAACTTAACAACATTTCTCCTGAAAGAACTTGTCGCGAAGAGGAAGCAAATGGCCATCATAATATCCATGATAATTCCAGTAAATCCCGGGATGCTTAGTACTAGGTCCAGGTAACTTGGTTGTTCCGGGAACAAATTTCCAAAAACAGTCGTGAACTGGTTATTAGGGGTAGTCGATAGCCTCACGAAATTACAAGCCATATGGGCCACCGTGTGAATCAAGGTCCCTATCGCAATAGCGAGTGCTATTATTTTATGGAAATTGATGTTCTCATCCACGGGTAATAACCTGCCGATAAAAGTTTCACGAAGGGCTGTAAGTGTTCTTCGGCAGACAGGAAGGAGAATGAGCGCCATATTGAACTTCAAAGTTTCGCCCGCGGCCTTGGCTGTGCAGCTGCAGTAGCCCAGGACTTGGTACGAAGGCATGAAAGTATATTGGTGGAACTTCCATAGGAACAGCGCCATGTTAATTTCCCAAAATAGAAACAATATCCAGACTATTTTCCAATTGTCAAGTGTCGATTCAAAGATTCTCGTACAGTATTTCCTTACTGGGTTCCGATACTGTTCTGGGATCATGGTTTTTTCTAGATCGGCTGCGTCATCAGAGCTCAAGTTGCTTGTATCCTTAGCTGTGCCTTTTAGCAACGTCTCAAGTTGCCACATCTGTTTGACGATGAAATTAGAAGAAAAACACCATGATTCTAAGTTCCAATATGCTGAAGTAGTTTTGTTCATATATTACCTCTATGTAGCCGTAGTGATCAGGGTCGAGTTGTTCCATGATTAAAGCTGCATATGTTCCGGCGTGGTTCTTGAAAGTTGAAAGCTTGTTGGCCGATGCACTCATTATTAGGACCTTAAACATGAGGAAATTAAACCAGAAACTTCGAACTTAGATTCACGATTGAGATTTACACTGCAGCAACAACAATAGGACGTCTAAAATGTCGAAGTGTCCTAATAAACTGATTTATATAACTTGTTATTGGCTGATGCACTCATTATTATGGCACTTGGACATTTTTGACGTTCTAGAACCCGATTTTGTTGTAGTACGAGAAGAACAAAAGTAACGATCATAGATAATGGGTCCTTAATTTGTACCTCTTTTACATCCTCCTCTGTTAGCAAACCATCCCCATTCTTGTCACACCTGAATAGAATTTCCGTTATTAGCCGCTAGTTTGACACGGTGCAGAAAAACTTGAAGAACAGACTCGATAGAACTGCAATTTTACATATCAAAGAAAATCTGAACGCGAGTATGAAGGTCCTCTTTCGTCAATTCCATCCAGAATTCTTTCACTTCTTCTTTCGTGATCCCTTCAGATGTATCGATCCCCTTCCGTCTCGCAAGTGCATCAAACAATTCCCCAGAGAACTCGTTCCCTTCTCCCATTCCTGTAGCGAAACACAATAAGATATATGATTAATCAAAAGAGGTTCGTAACGAAATAATTCAAGATCTAGAAAGATGTCTGAATCGTTATCTAACCAACGCAGATCCCAAATTTTTCTCTAGGTAGCTTCCCATTGGTTGAGAATCGCTGAAATCGCTTATCGATAGCCATCCACGCATCCCCTTCTTTTCCGGTCATGACCCGATCAAGAAACCGCAATCCATTAAGGCCTCTAGCTGCGCTTGAGACTTGCCGTTCCAACTGTGGTACCTCACCGGGCAAACGTCTTCTTCTGCCAGAAGTTGCCTTGCTAGAATTCCTGCTTAGCCTGCTTGAGGTCGATAATCTCCCTTCCTTAAATGATGACTTTCGACTTGATTGTTCTCGAGAATCACTTGATATGGATCTCCGTTCAGCCGAATCAAGATCCATCTTTATTAATTGCTATTATATATATATATGTATGTATGTATGTATGTCTTCTAGAATGTAAACAAAAACGATTGTTGCATTCTATCTTCAATTCTCTTGTGGAGATACGATGTGTTCTTAATGATGGCCAAAACGAATGAGGGAAGAGTTTATAGAAATGAATGGGAGATAACCAACAACTAATGAGGGGAAAGGCTTTAATTTAAATAATTAGTTGTGGAGAAATATATGGATTCCTATATTTCAGGATTTCTATAATTCGCCAAAACTCGACATCCGAAAAACTAGAGCTTTTTGTCGGAATACAACCAACAAGTTGTTTTTCAATCGTTTTTATCTGTCGTTTGGATGTCTGTAACCGTCTTAATTGAGTACTTAATGTCGTTTTATATGATCAACAACTGAGCGGCTTTTATGGAGTTGAATAACCTAAAAACCTATATCCTTACGAAACAAATTTCTAAAAGTTTTAACAACCAAGTTCCGTTGTAATGCATAAAATAACAGTATACCAAATGGTTTTTGCCCTAGTGGTATTGTAGTCTTTAGCCTCCTAGGAGGTTAGGGGTTCAAACATCACCAAATGTGAGGAGGGTGTGTGTATGAGTTTATTTGTTGCATTTGTTGTATGTAAATATTATATACTTCAAAAAATAAAATAACAGTATAAAAACAACGAACCATATGTTGTTTTTATACAATTCAATTTCTCTCTATATAATATTGAATAAGGTGCGTATCACAATCACTACAAAACAAAGAGGTTTCATGGACGGAAAAATCCGCCGGAAAAAGCCATCACTGGCGGATCTCATCACTGAAAAACGCTGTTCCCATTCTTATATATTCATCTATGTCGAAAGATGTCTCCCAATTCATTCAACTATTGACTGCAACTTCCAATTAAGGCGCATAGAGGAAAAGCTACAGGATCATTACGACTTCTAAATCGCACACTCAAGTTTGCACGACTTATATGTGATTTCTCAAGTCGTGTAGTAAGTCACATACGACAAGGTATCTGGAATTGGACAAGATCTCGTGCGATCTACCAATTCGCCTACAGATCACATATACTACAATTAATGATGGGGTTTTAGTGCCAAATTACTCATATGAACTATTTTGTTACCGGAGGTTCACATAAGTTAACATCCTCACATATCTTAACATGAAATGTTAGCATATGTTAACGTATGTGATAATGTAACTTCAATACCAAAGTGGTTGTTACGGTTCGCACAAAATTTTCGTCGGTAACTGAAAATTCGCCGGTAATCACGACCACCGTCCAATTTTCTCCAGCAACGAGATCTGCCGATAAGTTGATGATGGCTTTTCCCGGTGGATTGCTGAAGGATTTTTACAACGGTGAAGAAGTCTCGTTATTGATACCTTTTGTTGTACAATGGTAAAAAATTCTATTGCAAAAAATCATTTTTAGGTAATGATTTTGGTGAAGGATATATTGTTTTATAAATAAATAAAATTAAAATAAATACACATTGTATTTTCATATTCTTTTCTATTATATACTTAGATGCAAATTACCAATGTAATTATCATTTACATATTTATATTTTAATAATATTATTAATATATCATTTTCGTTCAATCACAAAATTGGAGGATAGATAATAAATAAGGTTGAGATAATTAAGAGCATCTCCATCAACGACTGACTGATATCTGAACCTGTGACCTGCATAGGTTGCCCTCGACTCACGAAGAGGGTAAAAGGCACAAAATTGGGTTTATAGGACGCTCCCAATCTCTAATCGTCCCAATAGACTGCTTTATAAGATTTAATTCATAGGACCAAAATATAAAGCGTTTTATATAAATGTGTTGTAATAAGTTTATATGACGTTTTTGGACGTCTTAACAAGTTTTTGAGGACATTTTTAATATAAAGTGTTGCATTAGCAACTTTATAGAACATTTTTGAGAAAATATCCTATAAACTCAATTTTTATAGGACATTTGTTTTTATACAACAATTTTTCAAATAGCGTCCTATAAAGTTGCTAATGAGACGTTTTATATTAAAAATGTCCTAAAAAACTTATTACGACATAAAAAAAAGTCATACAAACTTATTACAACGCCTATAGATAGGACATTTTATTTTTTTAGTCATATAAACTAAGTCCTATGAAGAGGTCTATTAAGACACTTAGAATTTGAGAGTATCCTATAAACCCGATTTTGTTGTAGTGAGGAATCGCACGACCTTGTCTCACAATGCCATGTCACGAACCCAAGTTGAATACTTGTTTTAGCCCATATATCATGTGCTTTAGGAGATATATACACAAAAAAACAGTGGTTTTATCAACGACCTTTATTGTTGTTAAAAGTCTCCATTTATCCTCAAAACGCTTTATAAAGATGATATGTCGTCGCTATAGCTTGTACACGAAGCTTTCGTCGCTAAAGACACGCCGCTAAGACTCACTTTTCTTGTATATATATATATATATAATTAATCAATATTTTTAACCTGTCGATGTACGCTATAGTGCACCAATGTCATTTTCTCCAAAATCATTATCGAATGAGGTTTGTTATTAGTGTAATTCTACAGAGCGAAGACTCCTGATCCTAGCTAGCTAGTTTTCTTCGGTTAAGTAGTGTAAGTTCCTCTATATATGAAATTGGTTGATGCTCGTTTATTCTCTCTTCGTGACCGAAAATGATGTTATCTGTGTTTTATATATACACATTCAAGGTGATATATGGACAATCTGGAAAAACTTGTGTGGGCGTTGGTTGATATCTGAAAAGAAGTCCCGACAAAAATAGAATGAAGAAGAGATAACAGTTGGTTAATTTTTGACATGCGTATATAAAAGAATTATTAGATCCAATATCTAATATCATGAACTAATCTATATGACATGATGCATATATAATGTCATGCAACCATTTTAAATAAAGAACTGATTGGAAAAAAGTAGAAGTACAAGTGTCGAAGAGAAAATGACAGTATTTTTGTCAATTTAATGTTAGAATGAACCATTTAGAATGGGTATTAGAGATTTCAACATTGTAGAAAAATTGTTCACGTATAGATGTATTGATGAAGTTACTACGAGGAATTATGGAATTCATGAGATCAGAAATCGTTGAACAAACATTTTTCTACGAAACCCGAAAGACGTACGTCATACGATCATAGAAACCTCGAAGAAATATTTTTTTTACATTTTTTATTTACTTTGTAAAACTTTAACATTTATAAAGAGTTTCTTATGAAATCTTGTTTTTTAGTACACTGCAAAAATTGGATTAGATGGAACCCTGGTACATATGAGACATACGAATGTGTCCGTTGGAGGAAAAGAAATTAAAAAGATGAGTGATGTCAAAATGTTTTAGCAATTTGTTATTATTAACATGATTTGTACATAAGAAGTTGTGTTTAACTCAACTTCTGGTTTTCTGTTACATCCACCAAGTATGCACACTACAACAAAATTGGGTTTGTAGGACACTCTCAATTTCTAATAGACCCTTTATAGGGAAAAAAAATGAAGTGTCATATCTAAAGGTGTTGTAATAAGTTTATATGACGTTTTTTGACGTCGTAATAAGTTTTTTAGAACACTTTTAATATAAAACGTCCCATTAGCAACTTTATAGGACACTATTTGAAAAACTGTCATATAAAACCAAATATCCTATAAAAAATTGAGTTTATAGGACACTTTCTCAAAAGTGAGAAAGTGTCCTATAAAGTTGTTAAGACGACACTTCATATTAAAAATGTCCTAAAAACTTGTTAAGAAGCCCAAAAACGTCATATAAACTTATTACAACACCTTTAGATATGACACTTTATATTTTGGTCATATAAATTAAGTCCTATAAAGCTGTCTATTGGGACGCTTAGAGATTTGGGGTGTCCTATAAACCCAATTTTGTTGTAGTGGCATGTATCATTTTTGCTTAATATTAAAAGGTTGCTATTATTTTGTACTTCCTAAAATGTATGTGCAATAATGTTTTCTTGCTCACATATACAATGAAGATTAATATTATTTTTGTGATGTTACATACACTAATAATCATGAACTTATGATTGCATGTAAAAAATAATACGATAAACTTATGTTTTATAAAATCATTTGTATAGTTTAAATAGGTTTTATTTCATGTTCATTCGAAACGCCCTTGTTGATATTTCATTCAACATGATTAAATCATTTAAAAAGGTTAAAAACTAAAACTAAATAATTATAATATTAATTAATGGACAAATTGTATAAAAAAGTAACACACTTTAACTTAATTCCTATTTTGAGTAACATATTTCCAAAACTTTCATTTTGGTACTAAGATGTAAACATTTAAGTACTCGGGTAATCGGTTGAAAACTATTTTTAGATTAAAAAAAATTCATGTCACTAACCACGTTAGCAAATAATACTGAGTTAGATACCACATTACTCGTCACATCAGCATGATAATCGGTTAATGCTTCAACTGGTTACCCGAGTACTTCAATGTTTAAAACTTTATATCTTAGATACCAAAATAGAAGTTTTGAAAGTACTTTACATCTAAATTAAGAATCAAGTTAAAATACGTTGCTTTTTCATGCAATTAAAATTAAAATCAATAGTAATAATAAGTCAACTGAAGTCTGATATATGGTTTACAAAACATTTAGGAACATGCTTCTACTTTCTTCTAATTTTAGACAAGTAACTTAACAACCTTCAAGTTTTCCCATCTTAGTCGCTTATTTTCTCCCCTTCATTTCCATTTCATTCTCAACTACACGTTTCATTCTCCATTCTCATTCGTTCCTTCCTTCCTTCCCAGTTYCCATTTCCAGAAGAAGAAGAAGAAAAATTCTAACTTTTAATGGTCGACGAATCGTTCGAAAAGATAAGCACGTCGAAACACAATGAAAGGGCCGGATCTTGAGAGCGTTGAGATTGACCCGATAAACAAGCAATATCCGCAAGATGTCAACGACCAAAAATCATTCTTGGCAAATGCAAAAGGCCGTGCGTCAAAGCGTGTCACCTCCATCAAGGACCGTGGCGGGTTGCTACCAATGTTAAGTCGTAACACCAGTAGGGCAACATCTATCCGAAAGAAGCAGCCACCGCCAGGTGGAGGAGGACCGCCTAAGATGGGACGGACAACCTCCAGCGCAGCCAAAGGGCTTAATAGTCTGCGGTTTCTTGATAGAACCGTAACTGGAAAAGAAGGGGATGCGTGGAGGGCAATTGAGAGACGGTTCCATCAATTCGCGGTCGATGGAAAGCTTCCTAGAGATAAATTTGGAATTTGTGTTGGTAATTAGAAAGATATCAAAATGTTCTTGATTAGTTTGTTGAAAATTAGCTAGTTTTTGTTATATATATATATTTCTGTATGTATAGGAATGGGAGATAGCATCGAGTTTGCGGGTGAATTGTACGATGCCATGGCTAGGCGTCGGAATATAGATGGTGATGGAGGTCTAACTAAAGAACAAGTGAAAGATTTTTGGCAAGAAATGACAAAGAAAGACCTTGATGCCCGTCTTAGTATCTTCTTTGACATGTAAAATTTACCTTTTTTCTAGAATCAGCAGCTTAATTAATGGCTTAATGAGTTAATTAAGCTTTTAAACGAGTTGATTAATCTCAGGTGTGACAAGAATGGAGATGGGATATTATCAGAGGAGGAGGTAAAAGAGGTGAGAGCTTAATTAATCAATAAACAGCCAATTTAATTATGCTTAATCTAATTTTCTTTTAGATTTTCGTCTTATTATTCGTAAAAGCTCAAACTCGTGCAACTCTCCTTGATCTTTAAGGTACTTATAATGAGTGCCTCGGCGAACAAGCTTTCAAATTTCAAGAACCAAGCCGGGACGTATGCAGCCCTAATCATGGACGAGCTCGACCCTGATCACCGTGGCTACATTGAGGTTAACTTTTTAACATGCCATTTTGGCATATTTCTTGTTCCCTACTATAAAATAGGTCTTTTAGGATGTTCGACTGTTTTATAGAGTACGTAACGAGACTTTTGTAAAGTTTTATGAACAACAAATTTGCATCTTATTCACGATAAGTTGTTCGGACGAAGTTAGGCTACCTAACAAGTTCTAGTCTTTTTTGATCTCAAGACATCTAGACATCCTATAAGCCTTTTTTGTTGTAGTGGTTGATACCGGGCTGATTTCTAGTCTTCTAAAGTTTATTTTTTGGGACAGATGTGGCAACTCGAGATCCTGCTAACGGGCATGGTGACAAAGGATGAGACGAACCCCAAATTAACGAAGAATGATACTAAGAATCAGAATACTACTAATCTAGCAAGAACGATGATCCCACAAAAATATCGAAACCCGATTACTAGATTCATCAATGAATGGATCGAAGCTATACAAGATAACTGGAAGAGAGTATTGGTGACACTCTTTTTGCTTCTGCTTAACATTGCGCTTTTCGCGTGGAAATTCCATCAGTATACCCTAATGAAATCGTTCGAAGTCATGGGTTATTGTGTATGTTTGGCCAAGGCTGCAGGCGAGACTCTGAAGCTCAATATGGCTCTAATTCTCCTCCCGGTTTGCAGAAAAACACTCACGGCCTTACGAGAAACATTTCTAGGCAGATTGCTCCCATTTGACGATAATATCAACTTCCACAAAGTCATCGCTGGTGCCATTGTTATCGGCACTTTGATTCACACCTTAGCCCACATGTGTTGCAATTTCATAAGGTTGAGCACTTGCCCACCCAACACTTTCAATCGTGTTTTTGGTAATCTGCTTCCGAAGCAGCCAACATACATGGACTTAGTACTAACACTCCCAGGTTTGACGGGCGTGATCATGGATATTATGATGATCTTTTGCTTTCTTCTAGCCACAACTGCTTTCAGAAGGAATCTTGTCCATTTGCCATGGCCGTTTAATCATCTAGCCGGCTTTACGGCCTTTTGGTATGCTCATCATCTTCTGATCATCGTTTATATCTTGTTGATCCTTCATGGTTACTTCCTAGTGTTCACCACCGAATGGTACAAGAAAACAGTAAGTCCTCATTCTTTCGCTTTAGTTTATCGATCTATTCGATTTGAACAATCTGCAAATTTGAAATTGACCAAATTTGATTAAACCAACTTACCTTGCAGACATGGATGTATCTCTTGATCCCAATACTGTGCTATTCAACGGAGAGAATCATTACGTCCTACGATCAATGCCATAAGGTTAATATCGTTAAGGTGACCATAGATGCCGCTCTCATATCATGTTTTTTGTTCTTTATATTCACCTATGATGAAATCTGCTTCTGATCTGCTCTTTGTATTGATATATAATTCTTAGGCTATCATATATTCCGGAAATGTGCTAGCACTCTACATGAGCAAACCTAACGGATTCAAATACAAGAGCGGGATGTACCTATTTGTTCAATGTCCAACTTTATCAGGCTTCGAATGGTATGTTACTTCGATCTTAACAAAACCAACGAGATTAACCCTATCCGTTTCACGTCTTGTTTCTAGTTTCTTCGACTTTTAGATGAAGTTTGTGAGCTCAAAGAGATTTAATATCGAGATTAACCAACGAGATTAAGCCTAATATTGTTGTTCTAGTGGATATTGATAATTGCAAGTTAAACTAAAAAGATGTTGATTTGTCGTCACAGGCATCCGTTCTCCATCACGTCTGCACCTGGAGACGACTACTTAAGTGTACATATTCGTTGTTTGGGAGACTGGACGACAGCCCTCAAAGACGAATTCGCAAAGGTAAAGGAACATCGATCTTACAGCTAAATAAATGCTCCACAATTTCATATATCTAGTCTTTCTTTCTTCCATCTCCATCCTCTTTTTCTGTTAATCTGAATTCTAAAACACAGAAATGCAGGCCTGTGAGCCTCCACCAAAACCTCAAGTTGCTGATGCTGCTGCTTCAAAAGCTATGAGAGGAAACCTTGTTCGATTGGAAACTCGGGCAAATACGAATGTTCCTCTAGAGGAATCACAAGCAATGTGAGCCGCGAACAACGCTAGATTTAATTTCTTCATCTTAAAAACCTTTCTTTTCGCTTAATACCGTCTTCCTGATAGATCAATTTGCTCTTCTAGTTATCCTAAAATCTTCATCAAAGGACCTTACGGAGCACCGGCTCAAGATTACGGGAAATACGACATCCTGTTACTAATTGGCTTGGGTATTGGAGCAACTCCATTCATTAGTATTTTAAAAGATCTTTTAAACCACCAAAGGGACTCAGTAAGTAGTAAAAGTAGAATGCTAAATATTGCCTTAAAACATGAGGGTATATATGCTAAATGTTTGATTTTCTTTTAGGGTTTTGATCATAAAGGTCCTGATCGAGCATACTTCTACTGGGTGACAAGGGAGCAAGCATCGTTCGAATGGTTCAAAGGAGTTATGGATGATATAGCAGAATATGATAAAAACGTAGGTTTTTAAGCAAAAGAAATAACTATTCACATGTTCCTTATGATATGAATAACGCTAAAGTTGTATCTAAATGGGGCTTGTGAATATTGCGATTCACAGGACATGATCGAAATGCATACATATCTAACCTGTGTTCATGAAGAAGGTGATGCACGATCCGCACTCATTGCCATGGTGCAGTCTCTGCAACATGCCAAAAACGGAGTCGATGTCGTCTCGCAAAGTCGTGTATGTTTTCTCGATTCTTTCCCTTTTTTTTTTCGCAATCGAGCTTGATTTCTGGTTCTGAAGAACAAACTAAACCATAACAGATAAGAACACATTTCTCAAGACCTAACTGGAAGAGGGTATTCTCAACTTTAGCAGGCAGACATGCATCGGCTAAAATTGGTAAACATCTAGATTCAGTATGTGATACTATGTGTGTTTCTTGGTAACCCTTTGATCTGTGGTGGTCTGCAGGTGTGTTCTATTGTGGGAGTCAAACGCTCACCAAGCCATTGAGAGAACTTTCGAAAGAATTTAGCATAGAAACCTCGACTCGCTTCGACTTCCACAAAGAGAACTTCTGAAAAGGAAATGAAACCATTTTCAGTTCTCAGGAAATTAACATGCCCATCTAGAAATAGACCTGTCGTTAGGTTTCGATCCTCTCGGTATGTTCGTAAATAGAGTGTTAAATGTAGGAATAACTAGTCTTGTTAGAAAGAGATCGATCGTTTCGTAGCTACTTCTGTAATGTGACTGTCTTTTAAGTTGGTGATCATAACAATACGTCCATCGATTATCTCGTGATCTCTTTCTCAATCGTCTTGTACGTGTTACGAGTTCCAGAAGGAGAAGACCACCAATCTAATATCGATTCAAACGAGTAGTTAATATTAAGGTAAAATTCTTCGACCAAGACTTTATTCCCTGAAAGTAATTCGTAAATTCTTCATCTGCAATATCGTCAAATACTTCGTTTTCAGTGCAAATCAAGATCCGACTGATAATTGTTGCTCGATCTAGTACCGAGGATGAGTATATCTAGCTCTGTAGCTCATATACGATGCTGCTAAGTTACGGTGGATTACTATAGTTTGTGATCTTCGCGTAGATCGGCTACATATATATGGCGATGAATCATATGTTTGCGTAGAAACACATTGAGATTGATCTACACTTTATTCGGATAAGGTTATGTCTCGAACCTTGCTTGTTCGATACCGATCATGTGTCTATTGGTGCTCAACTTGCTGACATTAATTTTCACAAAAAGGTTAACGAAATGCTCGATTTGCTCATCTATGATTCATAAACCTTCACATCGTACCAAATGTTTTGCTTGCAGGGGATGTTAGATATATACGATGATACGGAGATGGTGCCATGTGTCCTAGTTAGTTGAGGTAGTTATGAATTAGTTGAGGCGGTTTAGTTGTAGTTGTGGTTGTTAATTATCATGTATGTAGTATAAGTGTACAATCCAGAAAATTGCATTAAAGTGGAATCAACTTTGATGTGATTTTTATTTTAACGAACCAACTTTCAAAACCATCATTTTAAAAGTTCAAGTAAAATTTTCATTTATTTAAAGGTTCCTTTGATCTAGTGACCTACTAACGATGACATGGTGTAAGTAAATGCCAACTAAATGGTCGTTTACCAAACGCTTACTCGGGTAAACGGGTAAACGTTTTATGGTAAGAACCCAGAATCTTATCAGGTAAGAGCGATACCAGGACCAAGAGTCTTACCGGTAAGTGAGGTTGACAACTCTTACCATGGTTATCACTTACCGGGTAAATTGTTACATACGATACATTTTTTATATACTAAAATCTCACCTGGTAAGCAAGTGATGGTGTTGAATTTTACCGATAAATGCTTACCTGGTAAGTGTTTGATAATTAAATGTAGGAGATTTATAATGGTCCAATCTATTACTTTAGTTTGGGAATTTGTTTTTTTCTTTCTAGTGGTTGGGTGATTTCGAAACAATAGATATGATTTACATTGGAATATCTTTATTGTCTGTTTGGATAACCATGACCGAAGATAGTATACCTGAATGAACTACCTTGATTACAAAATAATCGACGAATAAATAACCCAATAACAGATACAAAGAACTAAATCCGAAAATCTTTCCGTACCATCCATTCGATGTAATCTGTACATGTTTTCAAAAACTTATATTTTTTATTTTGAAATTATTTTTTGTGTTCATAATCGACAGTCAAAGATGAGAACTGTCGATTAAAATGAATGCAATATCATATTAATCCATTACCAATACAAACGCTTTGATCATTGTCTTCACTTCTGGAACTCGAAGTCCGATTGTCATCGTAAACCATTTTAACTTTCTCATTCCCATTGTTGTCGATCTGTTTTCCAATAGGTTTATCCATATTAGCTTGGACGGTATCGAAAACTTTACTATCGGAAATCCTTTAACAATCACAAATTCAATAATATTATAGATAGATAAATCAAATACCAAAAACAATCACAAATTAAAAAACAAGATCAATATTAAATCATCATCAATTATGAGATTTTTATATTTTGCAACTCTCAATTAATGATATTGGAGTTACACAAAATGGTAAAATTGTTTAATTACTCTTGTCATTAACATATGAGATGTATGTGAACCTAAATAAAAGATTGATTTTCATTGGTTGAGCTTGGTTAACAAAGTTAACACAATAATCTTGATTAATATTTGAACCAAGCTATATATATATATAGTTTGATTCAAATACTAACCAATTTTTTTGTGTTAACTATGTTAATCAAGCTCAACCAATCATATTCTATCTTTTCCTTTGGTTCAAATGTAACTCATATATTAAATACAAAAGTATTTAAGTAATTTGTCATTTTATGTAACTTCCAAATAATTAATTGGGAGTTACAAATTTGAAAATACCATAATTGAACATGATGCAATATTGACATTGGGGTTTCACACGTGTTCATGTGTGTGTGTATATATATATATATATATATATATATATATATATCACGTTCAAATGAAAACCGTGTATTTCTAAGAAACCGTGTAAACTAATTTCGACCAATAGAAAATTTTCATTTTTTTCTAATTAAATTTAATCAATAAGGGTATTTCGGTCATTCACAATATTTTCAATTAAATATGAAAATTATTAATAAATCTTAATTTAGGAAACGTAATAAATGAAATTTTATAAATGGTAACAGTTAAATATTTAATTATATTATAATTTTAAAAATTTGAACTTAATATATTGTGATGCGATTGAATCTGCTGGTGAATCTTGAAGATTGTAAGGCATAATGTAATGAATTCATCAAATCATGATTGAAAAAATAAATTAATAAAAATGAAACAGGTTTCATGAAAGTGAAACTGGTTCATGTCATAATTGAACAATGAGTAGTGAAACATTTCCATGGTGAACCCGTTTCATTGATGGTGTAGTTGATCCATTTAGTAGGTGAAGTGGAAAATAAAACGGGTGCATAATGTATTTGGTTCGTCATGAAATAATTGCACGATAAAACGGGTACATGATGAATCTGTTACAAAATCTTGAAGATTGTAATCTGCTCCAGAATCTTGAAGATTGTAAGGCTTAAAGGAATGAATTCATCAAATCATGGGTGAAACAAGAAAATTAATGTACATGAAATAGGTTTCATGAAGGTGAAACTGGTTCATGGTGTAATTGAACCAAGAGTAGTGAAACGGATGCATAATGTATTTGGTTCGTCATGAAATAATTGCATGATGAAACGGGTACATGATGAATCTGCTCTATAATCTTGAAGATTGTAATCTGCTACAAAATCTTTAAGATTGTAAGGATTGTAGGAATGAATTCATCAAATCAGGAGCTAAATAAACTAATCTATGTACATGAAACAAGTTTCATGAAGGTGAAACTAGTTCATGGCGTAATTGAACAATGAGTAGTGAACTGGTTTGATGGTGAACCAHGTTTCAGTGATGGTGTAGTTGATYCATTTAGTAGGTGAAATGCAAAATGAAAYGGGTGCATAATGTATRCGGTTTGTCATGAAATAATTACATVYTRAAATGGATTCATGATGAAACCGGTGYGTCTTGAAATAATTTCATAATGAATAGGGTGCATATTTACATGGGTATGTGAAGGACATTGAAACAATTTCAGGATAAGGAATAAAAGGCTGCTGTATTAACGAAATTATTTCCTAACAAATAGAAAATTTTAATTTCCTAAAATAAAGAATAATGTCCTTCAATAGGATGTTCCAGAATATGTATTTTTGTTTACCATTTTGCCCTTATTGCTAATATAAAAATAAATTTTAATATATATTTTTAATTTTCTAAAGTAAAGTAAACTAATCTTGACCATTGATCAAGAAAATGGATGAATGAGATTGGTTTACACAAATGGAGGCGGTTTTCATTTGAACGCTCCTTTCTCTCTCTCTCTCTCTCTCTCTCTCTCTCTATATATATATATAGAGAGAGAGAGAGAGTTTGTTTCAAATACAACTCATCGCATTTGTACAACCAATGCAACCTAATAAATTGAGATATTTATGGAAATGATAAGAGTTCATTTATTATGATTTGAATATTTATGGAAGATGAATATGGTTCATTAATTATGGTCAATATTTTATATTAGGAAACAATCAAAACTTCTATGAAATCACATATTAATCAAATGAAATGTACGGTTGAGATTGTGTTGTATTGGTTGTACAAGAGTTGTATAACAACCAACCTCTATATATATATATATATATATATATATATATATAGACTTGGGATCATGTGAGACCAGCCTGTTTTCGTGAGACCCGTGAGACCAGCATTTTACATGTAAACTTCACAGCAAAAATGCTGTGAAAGTGACTTTTTAAAACCTTCACAGTGTTTTTGCTGTGAAGGTTCGACTTTTTTTAAATCTTCATAGTGTTTTTGCTGTGAAGTTTACGTGTAAAATGCTGGTCTCACGGGTCTCATGAAAACAGGTTGGTCTCACGTGAACCCAACCCTATATATATATATATATATAAAGATTTTCTATCTTCCTTACAACATTCACCTGGAGAGGATTTCTAGAAGAAACCCAGTAGGCAAAACTGAAGTAGCCGTTTGTAAGGATTAGTGACTTTTGTCGAAGCATGTCTCAGGACGTTTAGCATTGCAATGGAAGGGGTTTCGAGCATATGTATTTTTTGAAGAGGCGAACGCTTTAGATCTTGACAATTTGAAAATGCTATTATAGCTTTTCTTGGATTGCTTCCTTTTTACTTGAAGAATGTGATTGATTTTCAGCATATGAGCTTTGGTTTTCATTATCGAATAAGGTTTTCATTTTATTAGCCATTGAAATAATATCACGGAAATCTACATATGAAAGATGTCTCGGTTGCATATCAGGCTCGACCGGGACAGATTACGTTACTCTAGTTGGTCTTGCCCATCTCTACGAGTACCAAGCTAATTTCTAACAACGCCTAAGTGTGTTGTTTTTCCACAGCCAGAATACTGGTATGACCCAATTTTCTCATAAAAACTAGAATAAATATTAAATACGACAGCTGCTGTTCATCACATACACGAGAACCATACTATTACATAATAACAAAGTGCGCGCAATAAATCTGCGATTATATGGACATACACCGCCGTTGTACTCATAATCTGCGGTTACAAACAATGCAACGATCCATCCTGAAACACTTGATATTCAAACCTAAATTTGAATCTCCTGTATAAATTCATCCAACAAATAATATTTTGTATACCCATATGCATCTATGTACACTTTTCTATTTAAAAAGTTCTTTTTCTCTTAATTAACAGCAGTGAGTGGGTGCCGTGAGTCTCTCATGGAATGAGCAGCACCATCCAGATGCTTCGCATCGCCATTTGGTAGCTTTGGAGACGATGATTTTGAATCCCAAAAAGATCTCAGTAGCTCGTCAAATGGTGGGGTTCGTAGCTCTTCAATTGATGTGGTGCTTGGTAGATTGAATGGTCTCTTTCTCGGTGTCAAACATGATGGTTCATCAACCTGCAAACCACGAGGCAAATGCAAACACACATTACGTTTCTAGTAAAGAAATTTCTAGATTTTAAAAATGATTGCAGCAATTGCCGGTAACGTTATATCCACAGGTCAACAATGGCAGTATAAAATGCCGACCATTGACGAAGATTTCCTTTACATATAAAAACTAGATAACATCATTTAACTATATGGTAAATGGTAATGTGGATGGTTATGGCAATAGATGACCATCCAGAAAACACAATGTCACGTTGTTTCTGCAAGTGTCGGGAACAACAAGGTGTTTGCTGAAATTCTAAGTGGATGATCTGTGAAATAAACGAGTAAATGATTTTCTACAAGCGGAACAATTGAAGTTGGGAACTTTTTGGTATTTTATGTTTCTTCGGGTGATATGATGGGTCAATCATTTGTATGAGCTATAGAGAAATTCAATGGGAAAAATGATTTCTCTTATGGGACCACAACTGGAAATTTTGCTGATCTCACAAAAATTGCACAATGCTTTGGTAGTAAGACAACAAAAAATAAAGATATGTTGGAGGAGGATTGTGAAGAGTTCGAATCTTGAAGCAGGAGCAAGGTTGTTGCTTTCTTGGTTGATGGTGAGGAGACAACTGCGATTGTGTGGTTAAAGTTGGAGGCAAACCTCATGACAAAGACGGAGGAAGGTTCACCAATCCTGGAGCACGTCAACAAATTTAATAGGTGCATATGATGGATGAGACTAGACCATCACTATTGGCCGATGATCTTCGGAAGAAGTGGAATGGCTACTAGTGGGTAACAAGGAGCATGCACAAGGTTTGTTTTGCGGTCGATTCTACTGCTCTTACCACTGCTGCTGCACCCTTATCCCAACCAAGGGGTAAGGATAAAAGCAATGAGAGACGAAAAGGAAATGGAGGGAAGTCTGGATCAACTCCTAGACCTCGTGTGAAAATGCGGTGTTTCAACTGCAGTGAGCCCAACCATTTCGAAGTAAATTGTCCTAATAAGATAGGAGGATAGAAGAAAGACAAGAACGAGCACAACTTCAGAAAGGTACAAGAGAAGCAAGAGCCCAGAAGAAAGGAGTAGCAAAGTTGTTACTTCGTTGCTTGTGATGAAGAAACTTCCGGTGGATTCTCGATTTTGGTTGCAGTTACCATATATATATCCAAATAAGAAGTGGTGGCACCATATTGGTGGGGAATAACCATGCTTAAACGTGGGGATTGGCTCTACTCTTAATTAAAACGATAGTTAGAACTTTGATGGATGCGAGACGTGCAAAAATCAGGGTTGGTCAGAAAATATAGTAAACACTCGCATAAGAGTGTTAGATTGTGTAAGAGTTCTCTTTCCTTGAGCAATATTTTGACCCTAATCTGCTTCTATATCACGAAATTACTCGAGGATAATCTCAATGAATTCCCCATCAAAGGAAAATGATCTAGACTTCCCTATAAACCTAGAAAAATCATAATGATTCATACATTAAAGTGCGGTGAATGAATACCCCATCAAAGGAAAATGATGCAGAAAATTAATAGCAATCATTGGGTGGTTGCATAAGTTAACAGAGCTACTACAAACAAGAGTCGTCAGTGGAGAACCCATATGTGGATAACCATCAACTGGGTCTAAAAGCTTAGTGGAAATTTGCCCGAGTATGGATCAAAGGCTTTGGACTCACCGGGTCTTATGATCATAGCTGCTGAGCCTTCAACTCAGAGCCTCTGATGCTTCTGATAGTGATTCATCTTTTGGGCATGGTACTTCTGATTAAGAGCTACTGAGTCAGTTGTAACTGTCACCTTATCTTATCCATAAATGGTTGTAATTGTATACAGTTACATGTTAACTGTCTAACCGCCCCTAACCGTCGATCTCTGATATAAATACATAAATGGTTGATCTGGTGAATATAAATACACAATTTTGTGCCTTAAAACATTTAGGAATTCACTGGATTATGCCGATACTAATTTCATGTTAACCTATTAGACTAAATGTACTTAATTGCAATTAGTAATTAGTATCTCTATTTCTTGTTACCTACCTGCCCTCTTGGTCACGCGACTACGCCGCCGCCGCCTCTGTTAATTTAACCATCCGCTGCCGCCGCCGTTGCTGGAATCTACCGCAGCTGCCCGCAATCTGCCGTCCGTTGTCTGCTGCCGACGCTGAACCCTAATTTCCAGTCTTCTTTTCCTTTATGATACATTACTACATCATTGCTCTAATAGCCTCTTTCACAACAGCGGAGAAACAATCTCACAATTCACACAAGTTTGCTTTTACCCTAACTTCTACAAACTATGGTTATTGGAAAACAATGATTCAACCCTTTCTTGTCAGAAATAACCTATTCGTATATATAGATGGATCAATACCGTGTCCATCCAAACATCTTCCATCAACCACAACCACCTCTGATCCAAAGGCTACCACCGATCCACAAATTACCCGATTTGTATTTGTAATGATACTCACGTTCGCATGATCCACTATCTCCGAAGCCTCTTTTCAACATGTCCAGGGTGAAACTTCCCATGATCTATGGCTTGCCCTAGAACGAGCCTATGCCTCTCACACATCATCTTAGGAATATACGCTGAAAACTCAACTTCTCAAGATTCGGATGGAAGGAGATGAAACTCCAGAGGCTTATCTCAATCGTGCACAGGAGTATGCAGATGCTCTACCTCGCAAACCTGTCAAAGATAAAGATCTCATTATGCTTGTTCTAGTTTCTGGTCTACCATCACCGCACGTCAATTCCCGACTGCCTTCAATGAACTTCATGCCCTTCTCAGTGATCATGACTACATGCTTGGGAAAACTCCTGCCTCTACTCCATCTGTTTCTCAGGTTTTTGCAGCTACTTTTGATTTGCCACAACCTTTTGTCTATCATCATCAACTTGTCCTAATCGTGATCCATCCGCCATTCGTCCTAGGCAGACTGCTAACTTTGCCAACAGTCGTGCCTCCCCATTTGCTAAATCAACTTCATGGTTTCCTCACATAGGAGCAAACAGTCATGTCATGCGTGTTGGAAATTTGTAGGTTGGAAGTTAACCTTTCATCCCACATTGGTAGAGAGTTTTATTTCGGAGAAGCTTATAAGGCTTTCTCTAGTAGTGGGCTTTGAACATGTTAGTGGACTCATGGTGGGGGTCTTGAGTGGAAGGCCCAACACACGTGCGTGTGGCCGTGGCCGTGGCAGAGGCCGCGGGATTCGCGAAGGTGGCGCGATTAGGCGCACTTTGCACTTCGCTCGGAGCAGAAGGAGCCTCGCCCCCAACTCCGAGTATCTTTTTACTAGAGATTTCGTCAGGAGGATTATCATTAATCCGATTTTAATTTTAATTTGAAATAAATCGGTTTTGAGATAATTATTAATTTT